ACTAGGGAAAGGAAGGGCTGCAGAGATTCTAGAGACCCTCTCCAGGGGGCAGAGGGCTGGCAGTATTTCTAAGCAGAAACTGAGTAGCCCCAGGGACACAGCAGAGCAGTGGGAGTCAAAGGAAGCTTGTTGCAAAACCAAGCGCTGCTGCTGAGTCACAATTCATGTGGCATTAGGAGTCACAGTCGAGGCTGCCACTCAGAGTGCCTGTTTTCCGCTAACTGCTCTGATTTCCCAGCCTTCCACATCTGAGCCTGCTCAGTTGGTCTATCATTTGCAGGGCACACCCAGAGTTCCTATTTGCCCAGCACCCCACCCTCGCTTTGAGTGACACACCTGTCCTCCCAAGAGACTCCCCCCTCCTCACTCCTAGCCCATTTGTGCTTAGGGTGAGATGGGGGTCTTTCCTTCCCTCTGTCCTGGCACCCGGGGTTGAGATGGTCACATGACCCAGGCTTACCCACTCAGTTCCTCGATGGCCTCAGGAACAGAAATATTCTGGAAATAGGTTTCCTGACCATCGGGAAAGCCAGCAAAGACATCATTTGTATTCCTACAAGGAACCCACTAGGCCTGGGTAGCTGGGGCCAGGGTAGGTATGTGCAGTGGTTATCTGAAGATGAGATTACCCTATGGGTGGGCAGGGTGACATGGCCGTGAGCCTCTGACCTCCCCCCGCTGTGGAGCTAGTGCTTTCTCTGCTTCAACACATTTCCACTGGAGTTTCTGCTATTTCCAAACACAAGGTTTCTGCCTGTGCGGCCAGTATCCCCTCCTCTCTATTTTTCCCTTTGTTTAGGGCTTACTACTGCCTGGATGGCACCTACCTTGCCTTATTGTACCAGACCACAGCTCTTAACAGCACAGAACAAAGGTAGTGGTGGTGCTGGACTGATTGATATGGGCATGTGACCTGTAGCCTTTACAGTGGCCTTGCAAGTTGCTAATCACAGTTACTGTGAAAGAGACCGGGGGTCAAGGAGCCTGGGACTTTGGCTTGGTTAGTAAGCAGCAGAGCTAATGTCCTGCTCAGAACTTCTGGCTCTCTTTTCAGGTTGCTCAGAGGGCTGCTGCCAAACAGGCTTGCTAGTGTTCATCCCTCCTGTAGCTGAAGTGTCACATAACCCGGGCTTCATGGGGACATTTCATGTCTGACTCTCCTTTGGTTGACTCGCTGTGTTTCTTCACTCTCCTGCTGCTCAGGCTTGGTCACTAGCCGTGGCTGGGTCTCCATCTGATCTGGTTGCCTTGGGCCACCGGCCTTGTCCTATATCTTGGTTAGTCCCACTCAAACTAGACGCTCCTCAGCCCTCCCCTGGGTCCCCAGCAGTCCAGACAGCAATCTTCCGGGTGGCTCCCGGTGTGGTATGTCTGAGGCCCAGGGCTGGAAGGACACAGGTGAGGCTGAGCATGGCCTTACCCGGGTGGAGGCAAGAACTCTAAAAGCGAGTAGACACTGGGTGTACCTCCCGAAGGCGTGGGACCCTGCATAGCCAGAGAAATAGGGAGCATGCTGGGAGCACTCCACTTTCCATTGGGGTGCAGCAAAGGGCTGAGGGCACAGGGAGCAGTTTCTATTAGGATGCGATGGAAACAGGCATCTCTGGCAAAGGGGCAGTGTTGCAGGGAGGGGAGGGTATGGCTTAGTAAAAATGCAAGGTGGGAGTGGGGGTGGGGCTTAGAGAAGTAAAATCAGAAAAGCAATCTTCATGAGCTCTCGGCTAGCCAGAGGACGTTACTACTTCTTGGTCTGAGACTTTCTTTGGAAGCAGAAAGGTTAATTCAAAACAAGATGAAGAAATGCTGGGGGTGGGGGCATGAACTTGCTCTGCAGGGAAGACAGGGCTGCCTAGGCTTGGTAGGGAGGGAAAGACTGCCTAAAGGGCAGGTCAGTAGCCGATAGAATAGAAAAGAATCAAGTCTTGCCTCACACAGAATCTTGGAGTCCAGAGATCAGGCTGGCTGGGGAGATGCAAGAGAAAGAGGACAACAGAACAGGCAGAAGGCCATGGGCATGCTGGGACACTCCTAGAGGGGATGATACTCTAGCTAGGCACTAAGGGATGGATAGGAGATGAGATGCTCTCAGGGAGCCCCACCCCCACCCCAACAAAGCCTGAACATACTGCAACAGCTCATCTGGGGCTGTGTATTCTGCTAGGCACCGAGGGTCCCATGTGGCTTCCTAGGTCGTCTGCTGTACCTAAGACCCACTAGGTCATCTGCAGTGTGTAAGACTCCATCCCCTGCTCTGTGAGTTCTGAATGTACTTGGAAAAATCCCAGAGACAAGCCAGGGCTAAGTTTTAAATAGCCTGGGTGGCAGTGCATTGTTATGATGATCCTGCTTTGTGATTGGTTGCTGCTAATCGCTTATTAAATTAAAGTTCATTGCCAGTCTGTCAGGGGCAGTGTTGATATCTTCTACGGGTTCACCCAGCAGGGAAAGGAAAGAAGCCCTGTGTCTCAAGAGTGTCAGGCACGGAGGGTGTCCTCAGAAATGCGTGAGAGGGTAGCCATCAGCCAGACTGAGTGGAGGGCCTCAGATGCACGGTGCGAGGCAGGGCCTAGGGGTGACCTTGTTCATCCTTCTGAGTGTTCTGGCCTTTTCTCTCCCAAAAGTGATGAAATGCATGGCTGTTTATTTACTTGGCCAATATGTATCAAGCTCTTACTGTGTTCCAAGGGGACTCCTTCCTCCTCTGGTGTCTGCCTCTCTATAGGAAAATGGAGGTCGACTTGTCAGCCATTAAAGACTGTCTTTTCAGCAGAAGGAAGTGATGAAGCCTTAGAGAGCTTTTCAAAAGCAAAGGCCAGAAAGAGCCTTGGTAGGAAGCAGAGGAGCTGGGAGGAGTTGGAGAAGCAGTGTGGGCTCCAGGAGCAGAGTGCCGGGCTCACAGCATCTGAGCATCTGGCATCCAGACTACCTGTGTTTTACATGGGGGTCCGAGAAATGTCAGCTGCTTCCAGGCCCAGGAGTTCACTCTTGGCGATGACTCACCTCGGAAACGAGGGTCTTCCATTTTCTTGTTCCTCCTCTCATTGTTTTAATGAAGAAAAAAAAAAAACATGTCTCATAGTGCTTTAAAAGTCTATGTTATAGTTAGCAGTGACATATTGTGTCTTTCAGAATAGCTGGTAGATGGGCAGGGTTTTGAATGCTCATGTCACAAACGATAAATGTTTGAGGTGACAAATACGCCAAGTATTCAGATTAGATGGTGACGCCCTGCTCACACGTGTATAGGAACACCACACAATGCCGCTTAAGCGAGTGCAGTGATGCCAATGAGAAACCGGAAGATGCTGTCTTCCCAACCCGCACATTTAGTATCCAGAGGAGTTTAGTATCCTCGTGCTCACACACGTGATATATGTGCTTATGCTTTTCCCGGGGTGGGTAGCGGGGAGAATAGCTGCTGAGGTTTGACTCTTTCTTCCAAGAGTTCACATTTGGAACCTCAGTTCCCATGGTGCCATTGTAGGGGGTGGAGCCTAATGGGAGTGGTAGAGATTACGTGCTGTTCCTACAGAACCACACGGACGGACGTTCTTGGGTTAGTGTGCTTGCTTTCTTTTGTGTCTCTTTTGTTCAGTTTTGTTTGTTTATTTTCAAGACAGGATCTAGCTGTGGAGCTCAGGAAAGCCTTGAAAGTGTGGCAATCTTCCTGCCTCTGCCTCTCACATGCTGGGATTACAGGGATGTGTCACTGTCTCTGGCTGTGCACTGGTTTAGGTCTCCATGGAGTGGCTGGAAATATAAGAAATTGCATCTTGCCCTCACATATTTGTTTGCTTCTTGTCTGTTCTCCCCTCTTTCTCATGAGTTTGCTTTTCGCACTGCCTTCCACCACAGCGTGGAGTCCTCACCAGAAGACTCCGGGATGGAGAATCAAATGACACTTATACTGTTGTTGGGGCAGGTGTGTGTGTGTGTGTGTGTGTGTGTGTGTGTGTGTGTGTGTAGGAGGTCATGCTAGGCATATGCAAAGGCCACAAGAAAATGCTGGGTGTCCTGCCCCATCACTCTCTACCGTCTCCCCTTGAGACAAGGTCTCACACTGAACGTAGAGTTCACCAGTTCTCCACCATCCAGTTCCAATCATCTCCGGTGTCTCTCGCTATCCCCCACACACCCCGGGGTCACAGGTGGACAAATGGCCAAGCCCAGCTTTGGTGCAGGTGTTAGTGCTTCCAACTCAGCTCCTCAAGCCTCTGAGTCATCTGCCTGCCCTAACGTCTGTACTTTACGTGTTTGTGCTATTTCGTCATAGACATGAAATGAGTTAAAGTCACACCTCAGGTGATATGGTGATCAGCTGGTGAGCGTGTGCGGCACAGGCTCACACAAAGCGGTGAGTACAGTAGGAATGGGCCTTCAAAGCTGAAGTGGCCACAGGCGTGGCCAACGAAGAAAGTCAGACCAATGTTAGGCTGAGCATTGGGCTTCCTCAATTTCATTTCATGAGAAATTTGGGACAAGACTGAAGACACCCTTTGATCAATGGTCACCCTGGGACAATGGTGAAAGTAGGTCTGGGAAGAGGGGGCTGGGAGTGGAAAAGTTGGGAAGAGCCAACAGCACCATCCCGAGCGAGACAGTGTCATAGTGAGCCCCTGTTGTCTTACTTTTCTGCTGCTGTGATGACACATCATGACTAAGGCAACTTACAGAAGAAAGAGTTTACGGGCGTCTCATAGTTTCAGAGTGTTAGAGACCATGACCATCATGGCAGGGAGCACGGCAGCAGGCAGGCAGGCATGGTGCTGGAGCAGTAGCTCAGAGTTCACATCATGATAAACAAGAGGTGGGCTTTTGGAATCTCAAGCCCACCCCAGTGACACACCTCCTCCAGCAAGACCATACCTCCTAATCCTTCCCAGACACTCCCACCCACCAACTGGGAATTAAACATTCAAATATATGAGCCTATGGGCTTTTCTCACTCAAGTCACCACAGTTACCAACTAAACATACCTGGGAAGATGGAACTTCGATTGAGGAATTACCTCCCTTAGATCAGCTTGTGGGCACATCTGGAGAGCATTCGAATTGGCACAGGAGGGCTCAGCCCACTGTGGGTAGTACCATCCCTAGGCAGTGGTTTGGGGCTCAGAAAGGTCACTAAAAATGAAGACAGAAAAAAAAAAGCCAGTAAGCAGCATTCCTCCCAGCCTCTGCTTCTGTTCCTGCCTCTGGGTTCTTGACTGGAGATCCTGCCTGGATGATAGACTGTCAGCTAAGAGTCAAGTAAGTCCCCGCCTGCAGGTTAGTTTTGGTCAGTGCTGGATCACAGCAACAGAAAGAAAACTAGGGCAGATGGAACGCTCTGTGTAGAGAGAGCTGTGATGGAGGTGGAAGAGGGGACAGCTTGGAGAACTCACCAGGGAGAATGATGAAATAATGAGATATGTCAGTGTGGAACCAAATAAGGGGGTAGCAGGCATGCGGCCTAACACAGCAGGCGAAGCTGGAATACCAGACCCTCCAGAGCTGCCATCTGGTGAGCCCAGGATGGCTCTTAGGGCTTCTGAGTGCTAAACCATTCCAGCAGCCTGCCTGTAATTCCCGTGGGTGATGCCCTCACATCCGTACCGAGTCTTGGGCAGTCATCTGTGCCTTGTGACCCACTGCGGTTTGATGTGGTTTGTCCTCCAGGATTTCATGTCTCGGAGGCTTGGTTCATAAGCTGAGTGATAGGGTCTTGCGGGAGGTCACTAGGGACAGGCCACTCTGGAGGGGTGTGAAGTAGTTCTTGTGGGAGCAGGTTGACTCACGCCAAGCCCTCTCTGGCTTCATGTCCTGGACTTCCCCTTATGCTTTCCTGCTGCTGTGACACCATGTCCCTCAAGGTAAAGAAAGTCACCAAGCTCACCAGAGCTGGTGACATGGCATTGGCCTCTCAAGTTACTCACCATATGAACATCCTTTTTTTTATATTTGTAAGTTACCCAGCCTCAGAAATGATTCATAACAACAGAACACTGACTAACACAAGAGCCACGGACAAAGCCATTCAAGATAAAAAATAAAAAACCACCCAGCCTCTGATCTAGGGAGAGCTTGGGGGAGAGCTGGCAAAGCTGTGTCAGCCTTGGGCTGAGTACCTGTGACTTCTCAGTGGCTAATGGAAGTCCTGTTTGGGTTTGGTAGAAATTACTGCAAGCTGAGTAGGGCCATGATTGTGTCTCAGCAAGGAAGGGACGTTATTAGTGTCGGAAAGGCTCCCTTCTGATAGAGTATGAATGCATTTACTTATTTATGCTATTTGTTTGTTTGTTTCTTGAGACAAGGTCTCCTGAGATGGGCCAACTCACAGCCACTATGTGCTTGAGGCTGACTGCCATGACTTCTCTGCCTCCAGTTTCCGAGCGCTGGGACCACAGAGGTGATCCCCTGTGCCTTAGCACGGGTTTGTTTTGGTTTATGCTGTTAACTAGACAGGGTTCAGTTCATCCAATGCTTACCTTTCCTGAGGGCCAGGCACTCTTCTGGGTGCTGGAGGACAAAACAAACCCAAATCCTGCTTCTTGCAGACTTCATACGTAGGTTGTCAGAGACGCTTCAACGTGGCTGCTGTTTAGCAGGTCAGCTGTCCCCTGTGGTTTTCTTATGTCAAGCAGGTTTCAAGGAGCACGATACAGCGAAATGTGTGGCTTGAACCTACCAACGAGTTAGGCTTCTTATTATCCATGAAATTAAAAGGAAGCCTGGTCTAGCTGTGTGCCAGACAGCCAGTGGCATGCAAGCATTACAGCATCCACCCTAACGATGAAGCAACAGACAAAAGACCCAAATATCCTACTCCCTGGCTGAGGTGGTCCATACCCCTGTCACGCCTCAAGACTGTGTGTTTGCCATGATAACGCATGGCAAAGATGCTACTAAGTGTAGGCTCTTGGTGGAGGAGAAACCACATTGGTTTCCTTGTTCCATACTCGGCATGCTGGAATGGTTATTTGCCAGATTTCACAAATAAAGTTGCAGGACATCCAATTAAATTTCAATGTAGTATTTGTGACATATTTATAGCAAAAGACAATTTGTCTGAAATTCAGATTTACCAGAGTATCCTGTGTTGTATCCGGTAGCCCTAACTCTGCAAGCCTCAGAGGCAGGTGATCAATGTCCCCACTGGGTCAGTGAGGCTCCACCAATGCCCCTCCCCCTCTCGCTGGTTCATAGGAGGATGCACTTTGTAGACCTCACCTTCAAAGTGTGGAGCATACATACTCTGGGGGAGGCCAGAAAGAGAGAGTGAGCAACCTGTGCAAACGGGGCAGCAAGGCTTTGCAGCGGAGAGCTGGGTCAGGAGGACTCCAACTCGCCTTTGCGATTAGCACCCAGCCAGCAGGGCTAGAAGGGCAGGAAGCCATCTGGAGCTGCCTGCTGAGTCACAGGAGGCAAACAAGAACATTGTGACTCCCGAGCAGCGGAGAACCATTTCCCTGGAGATGGCAGCGGGCACCAGAAATAGAAACCGCTCCTCTGCCATAGCCCTGGGAGGTTGAAGTCTCTGATAATCCTTGATCTAGTGACCACAAGGCCTCCTTTTAACCCTGAAAGGCTCCCACTGAATGCATAAGAAGGCTGACTAGCTGGAGGCGGAGCTGCTTCCTTTTATACAAAAGAAAACTATTATTGTTTATATGTTAGCTGATTCTGTTCAAACACTTCCCCCAACTTCTCCATTCTCCTCTTCTTGCCCCTCTGTCCTCCGGCTGTTTCCTGAACTTCCTGACTCTGTTTTTCTTCAGTGATAAGAATCCTTGTCACATCAGGATAGCATGATGCGGGACTGGAGAGGCCGCTCTTGTAGAAGACCTGAATTCGATTCCCAGCACCTTCATCAGGCGGATTACAACCACCTGGGACCCCAGCTCCAGGGGCTTTGACTCCTCTGACCTCTCCAGATCTGCACTCATGAGCATGTTCCCACACACACATTTAATTTCAAATAAATATAAATCTTAAAAACAAAAATAAAGCTAGCATGAGGAGACAAAAGAAGTCCCATAGAAAATCCTCTTGTTCCTGCAGGTCTGATACACAGGAGGTACCCAATGAATGGTGGGTCTCATTCACCTAAGTATACCAGAACATCACCCTGGTAGGTTGGTGTGGGTGGTACATGGGACCCATCGTTTTCCTCCAGGAACGTTAGACTGAGCTCCCAGGGAGGTCTGAAGCTGGCTCTGACAGCAGTCTGGTTGGTGAGGCTCCTCACACACTAGAAAGGATGCTACAGAGCGGCCATTCCTCAAATTCCACAAATACTTCCTTTACCCTTGAATCCCCTGCTAGCCCACTCTCTCTTAGGACCGAAGGACAAAGTTAAGGCCAGTGCTCTAATGCCATCATTTTATTGTGCTTTTCTATGTTTCAATTATAATTTTTAATTTTTGAGATTATAATAGAGTAATATCATTCCCCTCCTTCTGTTTCCTCCCTCTAACCCCTCTCATGTACCTCCTTGCCCTTATCCAAATTCATAGCCTCTTTTTTTATTGTTGTTGCATATAAATATATGTAGATATACACAGACACATACACAGACACACATATATGTAAATACAACCTGCACAGCTTACACAATGTTGATATATATATCAACAGAAATAGCCAGAGGATATTGGATTGGCAGTAGGTGTGCTCTTCTCTGAGGAAGACTGTTTCTCCCACTCTCAGCATCCTTTAGTTAGTTGCCTGTGGTTCTTTATCTAGGGTTGAGGCCTTGTGAGCCTTCTCCCCTCCATGTTGGCATGTCTACTGGTATTTTCCTTGTTCTGCTCATGTTTGGGTGGTCCTGTTGGTGATACTTTATGGATGTGGCTTCTGATATTTCTGGGAGACACAATCTCACAGCAGATTCCTGATCCTCTGGCTCTTCCCGTCTTTCTGCCCCCTCTTCCACAATGTTCCCTGAGCTTTAGATGCCAGAGTTGTGCTGTAGATCAATCCATTGGGACTGGGTTCTAGAACTCTACGTTTTGATTAGCTTTGGTTTTCTGTAGTGGTTTCTGTTGCAGAGATGTTTCCTGGGTAAGGGATAAGGTGAGGACTGCACTTACCTGTGAGTGTAAGGACTAATGTTTAGATGGTTGTCAGGGCTTATGTGGTCTAGTAAAGTGGTGGCTGTAGGTTCTGCTCCAAGATCCATGGTGGTTGCCTGGGTTTCCAGTACCAGGCATGATTTCACTCTTGCTGTTGGTTACTGCCATATATGTGCCACGCTGCACCATTAGGGTTATCATGCCAGGCTGGTCATTGCTGTGGCTCCTAGATGTCATAGCTGGGTAGGACTATTGGTTATCTCCTCTTTTGGAAGCTTACGTGGCACCTTTGGTGCCATAAAAACTAGTCCTCGGGGAAAGGGCTTTCAGGTCAGGCCCAGCTCGGATCCTCTGTCCAAAGTGCACAGTGTCTCTCGCAATAAGTAATTATTCTTCATCCCTGAGGGGCAACCGAGGCCAACAGCAATCACCTATCATGTTTTGGGAATCTCCTGGACATCCCTGACCAACAATGCAAAAAAGGGCTTCTTATGTCTAGTGTTCGGATTTCTCATTAAGTCTATGTCTCTTGGGAGGCAAAGTCATCATTGTGACATTTTTATTATTGTGTATTTATGTATACAAGTTCCACAGCATATGCGTGGAGGTCAAAGGACCCCTTTCAGTAGTCAGTTCTCTCCTTCCACCGTGGACTCTAGGGATGGCACTCCTGTCATCAGGGCTTGCACACCAAGTGCTCCTGCTCTTCTTAGCTGCACCATCTCACAGGCACGACTGTTCGGTTTGAGGGTTCTGTGCCGTAGGATCTCCAAATTCTCAAAGCCATCCTCTCAGCCCAAATGGCATAAGCCCCATTTTGAAGACAGGGAAGGTGATGCTCAGGAGGGTAGACGCTGCTGTCCCCAGTGCTCAGAGCTGGTCAGTGAAGGCTCCATTCCAGCCCTGATTTCTCTAGATGTCATGAGGTACTGCGAATAAGCTCCCAGGAGAAGCTGGAGATTTGAGCTTATTAAAGTACATGAACTGCATAGTGATAGGTTTTCCTTCTTCTTCTTCTTCTTCTTCTTCTTCTTCTTCTTCTTCTTCTTCT